GGTTGAATTTAGGGATGTCTGAAACATTTATCCCTGTTTTTTCATGTCTATTTATTGATCAATGCTGCATTTATGGATTGCTCAGCCCTTTCCTTGCACTACCTCTTTGTCTTCTACCTTTTAATTAACAGGCAGAATTAACAACCCAACATTTCCTTCCTTTCCCCCCCCCTCAAAAGAACCACCACCTCCTCTCCCCTAATATCCCACCCCACAACCCCAATATTTCTCCATGCAATTCCTTCTCACCCTAACCTTTCTTTATTTTCTTATCCCCAGGAGATGCCCAACGAGACTATGCTAATTATTACCAGGGGCTGTGGGACTGCAGTGGTGACAACCCTGATGAACTCTCCTTCCGCCGAGGAGATCTCATCTACATCCTCAGCAAGGTACATCTCACATCTCTGTGGCCTTGGGGTTCCTTGGCAAGGGCAACAGGTGATCAAACTGCTCAAAATTCAGGTTTAAAGGTGAGTTAAATGAGCAAGTGAAGGGTTTCTCCCCTCCCCGTGTCTGCTCTGGTGAGGTCCCACCTGGAGTTCTGCACACAGTTCTGGTGTCCCCAAGGACATGGAGCTGTTGGAGCAAGTCCTGAGGAGGATAAGAAGGATTGGAGCCCCTTCCCTATGGGAGAGTTGGGGCTGTTCAGCCTGGAGAGGAGAAGGTTGTGTGGAAACATCAGAGAAACTCAGCAGGAGCTGAAGAGGCTCCAGGGAAGCTGCAGAGGGACTTGGTTAGGAACTGCAGGGACAGGACAAGGAGCAATAGGGAGAAATTGAAAGAGGAAATTTAGATTAGATATTAGGCAGAAGTTTTTTCCTGTGAGGGTGATGAGACACTGGCACAGGTTGCCCAGGGAGGATGTGGATGCTCCAAGGAGGTTGTAGATGCTCCAAGGAGGTTGTAGATGCTCTAAGGACTCTGTGGTTGCCCCAGGGAGGCTGTGGATGCCCCAAGGAGGCTGTGGATGCCCCAAGGAGGCTGTGGATGCCCCAAGGAGGCTGTGGATGCCCCAAGGAGGCTGTGGATGCCCCAAGGAGGCTGTGGATGCCCCAAGGAGGCTGTGGATGCCCCAAGGAGGCTGTGGATGCCCCAAGGAGGTTGTAGATGCCCCAAGGAGGGTATAGATGCTCCAATGACTCTGTGGTTGCCCCTAGGAGGTTGTGGTTGCCCCAAGGAGGTTGTGCATGCTCCAAGGACTCTGTGATTGCCCCAAGGACTCTGTGATTACCCCAATAAGGCTGTGGATGCCCCAAGGAGGTTGTAGATGCCCCAAGGAGGTTATAGATGCTCCAATGACTCTGTGGTTGCCCCTAGGAGGTTGTGGTTGCCCCAAGGAGGTTGTGCATGCCCCAAGGACTCTGCGATTGACTCTGACTCTGTGGTTGCCCCAAGGAGGCTGTGGATGCCCCAAGGAGGTTGTGGATGCCCCAACCCTATCACTGTTCATTCCAGGTTGGCTAAATCCTTGAGCATCCTGCTGTGGTGGGAGTTGTCCCTGCCCAGGGATGGGGTTGGCACTGGATGATCTCTAAGCTCCATCCCAACCCCTTAACATACTCTACTACATTATACAAGTGGAAGGGGAAGTGAGATGCATCCACATGGGAACCAGATCCTGGTCTCCCTCTCCCCCCTGCCCCATCCTGCCTGTCCCCATCCCACACAGCATTTCAAATACCCCAGAGCAAGATTGTTGTATTTTTAGCTCTTTTTCTCCCCAGTAATGGAGTGTGGCCGTGCTGGTGCTCAGGTATTCCAGGGGTAATTGAGTTGCTCAGCCAGGTGTGACCAGGTCTCCCCTCGGCAAGAGCATGGAGGGGAATAAATTAAAGGATTGGATTAATGATTTTGTGGGGGCAAGAAGTGCCTGTGACCCCTCTCTGCCCTTTGTGGCCCCTCAGGGCTCTGTCCGTGTTCCCAGCTGGTCCCTGCTGGACCCTGATGGCCTTGGCTGGCAGAATGAGCTTGGGGTTGTGTTTTATGGGTGTTGGTTTGGAATGTCCTTTGTGCCCTGATCTAGCACAGGAACAGCAATGAACTTGGGGGGATTTGGACTCCAATATGATGTGGGAACAGGGATGAACTTGGGGGGATTTGCACTCCAATATCACATGGGAAAAAAGGATGAACTTTGGAGCATTTTCACCTCAATATGACACAGCAATAGGGATGAACTTTGGGGGATTTAGACCCCAATATGACACAGGAATAGGGATGAACTATTGGGGGGATTTGCACCTCAATATGACCTAAGAACACTGATGAACTTTGGGGGTTTTGTGCCTCAATATGACACAGGAATAGGGATGAACTTGGGGGGATTTGGACTCCAATATGATGTGGGAGCAGTGATGAACTTGTGGGGATTTGCACCTCAATATGACCTAAGAACACTGATGAACTTCGGGGGTTTTGTGCCTCGATATGACACAGGAATAGGGATGAACTTGGGGGGATTTGGACTCCAATATGATGTGGGAGCAGTGATGAACTTGTGGG